GCTGTAACCCAGAGTGACACACGATAGATATAGAACCTCAATACTAAGAAGCTCAGTGTTATAAAATGTACTGGACAAACTCCAAACGTGATACTGTATTCCCTTCACTGAGTTTTTTAATAAGCACGACAATATATGATTAATTTATTGATATATAAGCGGGACTGGCCTTCGTTCATTATTCTGGTATCAAAATAATGTTCAGCATTTTTACATGAATTTTAAAACTAATGTGTAAGGTGCTACTTTCGTCCTAAAACTTGGCAATCTACAAAATAATGGAGCATTTGACGACACAAAAACAAATAATTTTATACTTTGATTTTTTACTTTTAATTCCTTGTGAATATTACGACACTGCGTCAAAAATAGAAGGAGGTAATCCTTACAATTCTTTTTAAGATGATTCTTATTTTATGTAACTAAATCTTAAAATGTAAAGAAAAAAATGTCCATCAAAAACTTCAAAAAATCAATAAAAAACAAAATAAATTTAAAGGAAGAGAAATCCTTCAGCAAAAACTGTTACAGAAAAAATAATTAACACAATTTGATTAACACGTTTGTTATTGTCAATCCAACAAGATTACAATATTTGCCCATAAACGAACTCTCAGACCCAGGCATCGACGACATGAACTTTTACTGTCAAAAACAAATATTCTAAACCTACGACGAAAAAACATTAGCTATGCGACGAGAAATGGTGCTTACGCATAAACTATGTCCAAACTAACATTGTTTACCAACCAACAAAGTAAATGCAACCCAGTAACTTGTAATCATTTCACTCTAAACTTTCATCACTTTGGATTCAAAAGGAGGTGGCTCATTAAAACCCAGTTGAAAGTTGACAGTTTGATAAGTATGCATATTAAGCTGGTGGCTTGTAGACCGCCCTTGGCAGACGCTAGTCATCACTCGACGCATCTCTTTGACACTTGAGCATTCTGTTTGTCAACCTCGCTGGCTAATTTACAGGTTTAGCGAAACCATTAACGTTACCGTTTGTTTTCTTTCGTGTAATATGAAGACAACGTAAACAGTAGAAAAGAAATAGCTGAACTGTGTATTTTATCAAACTGTTCTGAACAGAGTCGTAGCATAGATAAAATAATTAAATATGGACCGACAGCCGTGCTGCAGTTAGCATACGTCCTGGCGTCCACCGCTGAGGGCGCCGTGTAGATGTAGCCCGTAACTACACGGCACTCCCAGCGGTGGACGCCAGAACCTATGTTATCCGTAGCACAGCAGTCGGTCTATATTTAATTCTTTTTGTCTATGGTTATAGTATTCATTACTATTAGCGAGTATCTATTAGTAAACCTTCTACCAAAGCTACAACAACAGTTATAAATCTTTTTAACACAAACATTTCGAAGTAACATAGTTGCAAGTAACAGTTGTGTTCAAGTAACAGTTCCAGTTGTACAGAGGAGAGGAGTTTAGAGTTTATAGCCGCCCTTGTGTGCCATTGCAACATTGCAGTCCGGAGTTAAGCCGCCGTCCGTGGAGTTGTAAATTTGATTAGGTCCGGATGAACGATCAACAGTTGTTTGATGCTGTAGTCGATACAAATTGCTCGACATCGTTTCCATGCATTCCGAAACACATCGGATTCGATTAAAAACTTCTGACAACTTTGAAACACGCCCAGGTCTCAATAAGGAAATGCTGAATGCGAGATTAGTATACTGCAGTATTCTATTTCGAGGTACGGTAACTTTAATTTATCCAAGGAATTTGCTAATAGTTGATATGCTAATTATATCCCTAGTGACTTTATTATGTGCTACTGAGTAAAGCATAAATGTCATTTTTCTATCACGATTTCTTACCCCTATTGCTATTAATACAACCTTGTTTAGCGATCATAATATTGTGCATTGTGAACGTAGTAATAAAAAATAACATACACCGCGGTACAAAAACTTCAAACAAATCCCCTGAAAACTTGCGCCACTTTTTTCGATTATAAATTCAACTGAAATCGCATACACAAAAGATGTAACATAGCTACATAAGACTCAAAAAAGCTTCTGAAGCAAAAAATGAATCAAATCCAAGACAATCGACGTAACGATCGCCCCAACAAAGTCGGAAGTGAAGCGAGCAACAACAAAGCTATACGATTAGTTTCCTGAGGAAGTCCGCACTCGAGACCTGGACGGCGCCACGCCCCATCGACTACACTCACCACTCACCACAACCCCAGCGTCTTATTAATACACCATCACTCCCAGGAAGTCACGGGTGGACGAGTTCTGAGCGCAGGGGTTGGAATTGTAATATAGAACAAACCCACAATCATCGGATTATAGTACGCCCTAATGGATTATATGGGCAATAACACATTGCGGGTTTCCGTTTTGTACTCATAGTTTCTGTTGGCGGTTCACCGTCAATTCCAGATAATTATTACTGGAACAATACCCAATAATCGGTATTATAGTTGTATTGTGTTGGCCGTAGCTTTGTGTTCAATTAGAATGGCAGCTCTCAGCTTGGTGAATGTGTACTGGTAGTGGTTGTGGTTAAATTGTGTATGTGTGCTCTATTGTGTACTGGGTGTACACAATAGACAAACTTTATAGGTAAGTCACCATTAAAATATTTGCTATCCAAGCTCAGATATTATTCCACATGCTCAGTTGGTCAGCTGTTCCCTATCCTCTTATACCAACCCCAATCAAGCAAATCCAATGTTGACATTGAATTTACATAGATCCTTTCTTTAAGCAAAGCTTGGCCACCTCACTTAATCTTCGGCTTACTCTTGGTCAGTCCGTAGGTGAAACATGGCAAACTGTAGTCTTACATCCTAGCCCCAATTCAAACAATAAAATCTTGACATATAAATTTCACACATTCTTTCCCAAGCAAAGCTCGGCTACCAGCGGTTCTCGGTTGTCCAGCTCACCATGACACACAGCACACAGCACCTGTTCCGTATTCTCACGTCCTCGGTCCTGTATCACTCCAAGGTTGGTCGCCCAAGCGTCCAGCCCCGCCGACCACCTGTTTATGTCCCTATCTCAATTATATTCACTCTGTCCAATGTGCGCGAACAATGTCCACGCAGCGAAGCCATAAGTACTAATCTAATACAGTACTATTAAGCGGGAAGGATTTCCTACCAAATTCTTGTTATTTTTTATAATTGAATAAACTAAGTTAGCAAAATTTACATGAGTAAACGTTTACTGTTGCAATCTGCAAATGGCCAAGTAATATACAAACGGTGACAGACTACTACGTTAACAGGACTGAAATGATCGAGAACTGTTCGTTCACTGTCCAGCACAAAAACACATTTGATTTCATACAAATTTCAATCATGTTTTCCCAATCTGAAAATGTTCCTGTAGGCATGGCGATGAGCTTAAACCCCTCAGTCTGACCTAGGGAGCTGTACATCTCTGATAAGCCAACACCAGAAACTGATCCAGATTTGGCGGCGCGGCGAGGCGAGCGACGGACCGTAGCAAAAGCGCGCCAAATCCACAGCTTAATTTCACTTCTCACAAGAACCGGTTTGGTGTTTTTGTGGGCCAAAGCCCGGCGATGGGCGTCATCCAGCCACTTTCCTCGGCTCCGGCAGCATCACATCACTGGAGCAGAGGAGATGTCTCACGACCGATACTGTTACTTTGATATCCACCTCATCGCGATTAATGGAACGGTTCCTTTACTATCTTAAGTTGTCACAACCGATTAAGCTATTTTTAATCTACTGTTATCCCGAACTGTTACTTTATAATCTGACGTATCACAGCTGATACTGTTATTTGGTATCTTCTAATATCACGATCTATTACTAATTGAAAAGGGGACGTCACTCAGGTGCGTATTTTAATCCAAATATGAGTGAAGATGGCTATTGTGGTTTGGGGAACTTACGTAATTACAGTACAACCGATACAAATTTGACACTCGTGTTTTCGTAGTAGCCTAATAGTGACTTTATTACCTTACGCTAACATAAACAAAGTGTTTATGTCATCATAGATTTTCTATGTCAAATTTAAAACAAACAAGGTAAAAACTATGTATCTTCTACTCCCTACCTTTTAGTTAACATCAACATTTATCTGAGAACTAAACACACAGCACGATGAAGCCGAAAGCCAATTTTATCGTTGCAGGCTTGATTAAGGTACTCGACGATCTCGAGACTACATTAAAACTTGGATCTCGGGTTTCACGATCGGTAAACAATATTGAAATGCATCGCCCGCCCCGGTCTAAATCACAGAGTTAGCTTGTTGGGTTGTTGGGCACCCCGTGGGAAATAAAGCACAAACTCTGATTCCAACCAACAGCCGAATTAACAACTGGGGCCTCATCAGTTACTAACTTGTACCAATTAGCGGTGTAGTGCAAGTCGCTATGTACAATGGTACATCGTACTACATAACTCGGACAAAAGTGTATCACAGGAGATTGAAAGTACAATTTTTTATAGTTGTTAGATGAGATCAATGGTTATGGTGTTTTCAAAAATCACATTCTGTATTTTACTAGAAAAATAAATAAGAGTCACACGATCAGTCACAACACAGATAAGGTCATGGATACCTTAGTAGCCTTATTATTCCTTGGTACTTCCTTACTTTTCCGTTGTTAAATTTACAATGACATGAAAAATTTATTGTTGTTTTTGTTAATATGAATATAGAATGAATAAAAATTCTTTCAACGGCAAAGATAATTATCCTAAAATTCTACAAACGTGTGAGCCAAATAAGTTACGTTTTACCAAAACGTATATTGACTTTATTGGTGTTTCCTCTTCATAATATCGCTACCAAATAAAAACTTATACTTAGACGAATGTATAGTAATATTAATTTTAATGACCAATCAAGAAAGGGCGTCTTAAAAAGTTGAATTATTAAATTGGCACCACACTTTAGTGACTTCGTCTACTTCGAACATCAAAGAAACACTATGACACATTGTTACAGCTGAAGGTGCAACTTAAAATATATTCTTACCTCGTTCGGCTCGGACAGTTCGAACAGATCCAGCCTGTTGGCGTTCCACTGAGCGATCACACCCCGCAGGGCTTCTCGCTCCTCTGTCCGGCGGACCACCATGGCCATCTCGGGGTTCATCCTGGGGCCCTGCAACACGGCAACACCGTCATGAAGCAACAGCAACATCAACATCAACATGTAGCAACATAGATACATCATCCACATACTAGAACAAGGATACATCAACACGTGGGGACAATCTAAAAGGCGATCATCCATTTCTGGCAAGGGTCAGATAAAGTGCGTTCTCTTTGATCCTTTAGTAAAAAAATCAGAGTTTAACCATTGTCTTAAGTGCAAAGATACATAACGTGCAACAATTTACAAAAATGTTTACTCAACATTCAATACTCCAAACTCCGCCGGGTTAGCGTCGTCTGTTGTCGTAACTGATCAGTAAATGTTTCGTGTCCGTAACGTGTTTTGTGTCGTGTGTAAATGTTTATTTATTTGTACGTGTTAAATATGAAACTCTTCATGTGAAGAAAGAAGAAGTCCTTGTACCGCCTGAATATGACTCCACATAGGAGTCGAAACTAGTTGCAACTGCAATTAAATGGATTGCTTGATAAAAGGTATTTAAACCTTTTTAATACAAAAAAAAATTACATTGGCGCCGGTAGAAGGTAGGTCACAACTGCCGAGGCTACCTACGATTTACCTAGCTGGACCATATGAAGAGATAAACTCCAGAATTCAAACCCATAATATTCCATAAAACCAGTACTACATGATGGACATAAAGGCAATTCTTTGAAGTGTCCAAGGTCAAATTGTACTGTACAATTATATGAAAGCACAACACTTGACATTACTTAGCTCTCCACCACACCGGAGGTGACCGAGACCCAAAGTAATTTAGAGACTCCGACCCTCAACTAGGTGATCCTAGGTTAGGGTGTGGAAGGGACCGCCCTACAATCACCCCGCGGTGTCGGGTCACTGCCACCCTGAGCGATGGGATAATTTGGCGCCACTTCAATTCTCAAAACCCCACAAACACTCTGCTTCACCCGCCAACAGCGTGGGAGTATCGCTGGAGAACTGAAGAATCAAACCTTCTGCGTTCCTTACATCTTGTACTAATAGATTAAATTCTAGCAGTTTAACAACTGGCGCACCTCAAAATGAAGAGGATCCGGCTATGTAAAAGTATTTAGATCAAATACAAAACATATCTACCGAGTACAAGAATTCGTTTCGAAAAGTGTTATAGCCTACCATCCACTAAACTTTAACATTGTGTCCACCTGGAATTAGTGATAGTGTATCCATAATTAATTTTTACTATGCAAACTTTTTAATTTATTGCAGTTAATAGAACTAAGACTACCATTATCACAAATACACATGCCTATTGCCTAGTATACATCATTTTCAAAGCGGTCATGTAACAATTAATATCGACTATAAAGATTCATTAATAGCAAAACTTGGTGAAAATTTAGCAGCGCATTACAAAGTTTACTGAATAATTAGAGAGAGGCTTCAAGAGGATATTAAATACCCAGAGGTTCGTCAAGTAGGAATTGCACTTAAAACAACTGCTAGGACTGCATTAAATACGAGTAAAAAGCCGAAGACATTTTAGTCAACGAGTGTTCGTTTCGCAAACAAGTAGAATGTTTTAAGTGGTTTAACCAAATCGGGAATGGTTTAGCATTGATAAATGTGTCAGAAATATTACGTGTCGGCTTGTAGGCCTGTAAGTGATGTGTTCTTGCAAATTAACATTCTATATATTTTCAACGTCAGAAATATTTTTATAACTACCTATTTTATTTTTATTTTTACAAAAACAAAAACTATCTTAGAACGAGTATGTGTCCATGAATGTACATTCCAACTTTCCATTATGACAATAATTGATAAAACTTACTTCCATCACGGGGAAGCGATGATTATTTCAGTATTATCAAATAACCTTAGTAATTAAAAGAACATTTTAAGTTGGTACATGGATAAAATTAGCACACAGTTTTATACAATTAACTAAAGGTCGTCCAGTGGACGAAAACTCGACCAAAGATATGTGATGTATTATAGACTTCTATATTTTCGCCATACCGCTGTAAATAAAACATGGGATTGGAACGTTTTGATTTTCTGTTTATACTGCGTTATTATTTCGTCACCAGAATGGCAACCCGTCCATTTGAATTTTTTTTATTTAAAAATTATTTTTTGTTGCCTATTTTAATTTATAAAGGCCATCTTGCACATCTACAGGAAAATATCTTTCCCACAGTATGCGTAGATTTTCCCAGCGATGCACACGAGCTGAGAAGAAAGTTTTTAAAGAAACATTTTTGCCTCTTACTATAGGTAAAATATTTACACCAATGTATCAAAGTGTATTTGAATGTGAACTTAAAACTATAAACCCAGCTAATTAAATTGATGCAAAAATGAACATAACAAGACAGGAAATATTAAATAACGTGTCTCTTGTTTGCCTCGTAGTTGTTGTAATTAAATTTCAGCAATGAAGGATAACAATGCATCCATTAAATATAATTCTGTAGGCTACTCATGGTCCAATTATTCAATTCTCCAAAGGAATCTCACTATTTCAGTTTAGTCATGGATAACATTTCAGCACAATGTTGTAGGTTCATATCTAGGAAACCTATGGAAATTAGGCGAGAACTTGTTCTACATTCTGACTACATTTTTCTGTATGTTTATACATTATGTGTAGCAAAGCTATAACCATAGAATAAATAAACACTATATATTACTTTAGTATACTATATATAATACTATATATTTTAATATATATAATACATATATATATATATATAGTATATTATTATAAAATATATATAGTAATATATAATAAAATATCCTACTAATATTATAAATGAGAAAGTTTGGATGTATGGATGGATGTATGGATGTATGTTTGTGACAAGTGAACGCGAAAAATACTTGTAGGATTGGGCTGAAATTTGGCATGATGATAGCTCACATTCCCGATTAACATATAGGCATATTCTTATTTCAAAAATCATTTCGGGCTCCGCCCCAGTGGCTCTGGAGTTTCCCATGTTAACCTTATAAGAAATGGAATTATTGAATCTTAACAGCTGTTCCCAATTAAACAAGTTGGTTCTGTTCTCTGATGTTCAATAGCATTAATTAATGTTAGAAGGATTACCAACAGGGTGCAGCACTATTATTCCTTTTACATTTATGACAACAGCTAATTTGCAACCAAAAGGTGAGTGAGCGTAGCGAACGAACTTCAACCTGGAGGCGAGTTAGCGTAGCGAACGAGCTAACCTGAAGGCAAGTGAGCGCAGCGAACGAGCTCCAACCTAAAGGTGAGTGAGCGTGCGAACAAACTTCAACCAGGACGTGATTGAACCATGCGAACAAGATAATCTTGAAAAGTTAAAGTTAAGTTAAGTAAAGTAAAGTTAAGTTAGTTAATCTTGAGAAGTTAAACGGGGCAAAGCCCGCGGGTTACAGCTAGTATTACTATATATTATTTATATTACTTCATCTATGCTATAACTAAGTTTAAAACGTGCAAATTTTACAGCTCGTTCCAAATTATAAACAGTAAGCCGTCATCACCAGCGCGGGCTCGTTTGTACGATAATTAGACGAAACACTTACAACTGATGTCTCGTGTTCCACAGGCCCATAAATCACCCAGTCTTCAAGGAGCCGAAGTGTCGAGGTTCAGAAATAGTCCCGTAGTTTCTGGGATTTGAGAGTCCAGTGGCGCCGACCCCAGAAAAGGATCTGGTATTCAACGTGCTTAATTGTTTGTGGCTAGTTTCCTCATTGGGGGTTAAAGGTCACAGCGCCCAGTAAAAAACGTCCATCCAGTCCAAAATTCAAAACAAAAGAAAACGTTGGAATAACTAACAGATATAGAGGTACTCTTTAATCTGTGATGGAACTTAACGTGGGTCAGATAAAATCGTTCAGTGTTTTATCCGAATATAAAAACATTTAATATGATTTGGATTTTAAAAATTTTGTGGGACCCTTACTTTGCATGTAATTAACTTCAATTGTCAAAATACACATTAGATGGGATTAATACGATTCCAATACACCAGGGTACTTATTTATACACAAATGAGTGAAATTATAGCATTTTACGGCTATAGACCAGCTAACTTTCTGCAACCATCTCCATTTTATTATAAGGCAGCTAGGTCCAGTTTCGAACGTTTCGAAGAATCAAAAAGCTACTGACTTTTCTAGGATCAAACCGGTAACATTTTTACATAATATATGCTCCTAAAAATACAGCTACTTCTTCCGCTAACATGCGGTTTTAAGAGGTAAAATCAAATGGGTTATCATGTAAAAATAGCTTAATAATATTTTACTTCAGAAAACAACCACATTATTTTCCGAAAAAAAAACCCCGCTTAACTGTAACAACTAACTCACAAAACACTTCACAATCAACGCGTGTAAATTTACTTACAAAACAAATGCAGCATCGTCAACAATCCCGGGCAATAAACAAACAAAGACACGGAAGCCTTCATCGGACCTTTGTACGTAGATTAGCATTTGAAAGGATCAGAAGAGAACCTAGTAACTTCCTAGTGTGACAGAAACAGCTGTCTAGGGTGGGGGGTGTTTCAAGGACCTCAATGACACAAGGATTAAATCTCACAGCTGATCCTTCGTTCAACTCTTTCTCGCTTTCTCACGCTATCGCCTTACTCTGTGGAAATGTTAAATGGGACAAATTGATACTGTGATCCGACGCTGATGGATGTTGCTTACAATCCAAAGTGCAGAACACGTTGGAAAGATATAATCTTGATGGCAGTTTATTTTATAGAATGTTCGATAGACCAAATTTGCCGTTTTTAACAAGCATTATTTGCGTCTTAGCAAAATAACAAGTAGGAGTGTGTTCATCAATAAATTCATGCACTATCTAACACATACATCGGTCCTAATAATAATATAAATTGAGGTGTTTTTTGTTCAATAGGCCTACGTAATGATATGTAAACTATTAATATAAAGCCAAAATATGTTTTTAAATACATGACAGAGGGTAAATAATTACAGGTTTCACTCTCTTAAAGTGGATTTAAAACATA